GCAAATGTGTTAAGAGGTTATTTCTAAATTAAACCTAATATAACCTTAGTTGATAAGAGAAACAAGCGGCAGAAGCAGTTATAAGACCTTACCAACTTAACCAAAGAAACCTACCTAACCTCCAGTCCCCTCGGCATATTAAACAAAAAGAACTTACAATTATATGATGTAATTTGACGTTTTTTGTGGACGTGAGAACAACAACCCAATCCGGTGACTCTTTAACATACACTGTTGAGGTAACTGGCTGTGTACGCCTCTAATCACCTTATTATGTACCAAAGGAAGCAATTTCCATAAAAAATTATTATATCATAACTCACTGATGAAAATATAGTAAGAATATAAACATCAATACAAATAGCTCGTCGGCTGTGATGTCCTCCAAATTAGCCAAATAAAATATACTTACAATATAATTAAAATAAAAAGTTGTACCGTTTTTAAACTGTCATCAAAAGAACATATTTAGAAAAAAAAAATAACAAAACTGAACAACTCCTGGTGTGAGTCATCTGTTCCAGTAAAGTTAGGTAGGTAAATACAGGTCAGCTTTTTTTTTTGCGTGTTTTTACTACACAATTTGGGTTGAGGTGGGAAGGTTTTCATGAATTTACCAAAGAAATAATGGTGAAATACATTTAAAACACACCAAAAAAAAAACAGAAAAAACCATACTTTCGTCCATAGTCGTGGGTGGTCCTAAAACGAATACTGTGTGGGGTTCAAGATGTTTGGTTCACACTCAGGATGGGATGGAGAAAGGAAACTCACAATGTGCTCTCTATATACATGTTGTATTGGATGTACAATGCAGCTTGGTGCTGGGAAGGCAGCATGGTTACAAGCGTGATGTAGAGAGAGCTGGTTGGTGAGGATGCTCAGAGAAGGACCAGCTTGTGGGTCGCCATACTCGCCAGCGGGAGAGAGGACCGCCAGGCAGGCGGAGGAGCGAGGGCCGCCAGGCAGGCGGAGGTGTTGCTGGCTGGTTGGTGTAGGTAGAAAGAGAGAGATCACCACGAGGTCAGGTCTTAAATAGCGGGGGTAGGCGTGGCTTAGCAGTTGACCCCCGCTCCGTGGTGTATGGCGGCGCTGGTTGACCTAGACCACGAGGCATACACTGGGGAATTGGTGGGGTCGGCTAGGCAGCGACAAACAGCGTTTGTAGGGGAGAAATCCACTACAACTGTATATAAATATAATGACCCAAAACGAAAAAAAAATGCAAGTTCCATCCTTATATATGAAGTTTAAAATTTTTCTTAAGGTTTTTAGTGTGATTCATTTGATTCTAACATCCAGTTATCGGAAATCACTCGTTCCTGCCCAACCTAACCTAACTTAACCAAATTAAACCTACCCTAACGTGTGTTAATACGGAAATATACACCGGTATCATGCTTATTCTATATATCCTGATGGTACTCTCATGTTAACCATCAATTCTGAAGAGTGAAACGTTATCAGTACTAAATGCAGCTGCTAAAAAAAATGAGCAATACAATATAAAAACGGAATATGCCGAGTTGTTTGTCTTCCTCCCTTTATTCATTACCTGCTAATTATTTTGTTCACTTTCAGGTTGGTTGGCCGTCCCACATTCTGGCTCGGGGGTGAACGCGTTCGCCCTATAGCCCTTGCTAGTACAGTACAAACTTACCAATACCAAGGAATATTATAAGGAAATTAAACTCCCTTTTATTTTATTTTGAATCCCGACACTACCGCAATCTATTTGACAAGCCAGAACTAATAGAGAATGGGACTTTGGAGTGCTTGAAAATGTTTTTTTTTTTACGATAACTAGAATGTTTCACGCTGATTCGACTCTTTCTACCATCAGTAACCAATTACTTATTGTTGTATTTATCATTTTACCAATTATCAGCTTATTAGCCTGTGGGGTATGAGATTGTTTGGTTCACACTCAGGATGGAATGGAGAAAGGAAACTCACAATGTGCTCTCTATATACATGTTGTATTGGATGTACAATGCAGCTTGGTGCTGGGAAGGCAGCATGGTTACAAGCGTGATGTAGAGAGAGCTGGTTGGTGAGGATGCTCAGAGAAGGACAGCTTGTGGGTCGCCATGCTCGCCGGCGGGAGAGAGGACCGCCAGGCAGGAGGAGGTGTTGCTGGCTGTGGCTGAAGGTAGAGAGAGAGATCACCACGAGGTCAGGTCTTAAATAGCGGGGGTAGGCGTGGCTTAGCAGTTGACCCCCGCTCCGTGGTGTATGGCGGCGCTGGTTGACCTAGACCACAAGGCATACACTGGGGAATTGGTGGGGTCGGCTAGGCAGCGACAAACAGCGTTTGTAGGGGAGAATTCCACTACAATACTCCCCCTTCCCTCCAGGCGGTGTAGGAGACTTGTTGTCTGCAGAGTTGCTTAGCACATGTGAGGCAGAACGGGCGGTGCATGCCTCATGTGAGACAACGGCGATGGCGTGGATGAGCCGGTCGCTGGATACAACTGTCTATATACACACTATCTGTGGGAGAAGAGAGGGAGAAAAAGGGTGTGTGGAGGCGATGAATGTTGTGCTTCCCTCACGGCAGGTACAGAGTCGTCAGATGCGCCTGCTGGGGTGTGTGGGCCTGGGTCAGGAGCAGGGGCTGCGTCAGCAGAAGCGGATGAGGGCTCGTGACAGCAGCTGGGTCCACGACAGCAGCAGGGTGCAGGACATTAGCAGGGAGTACCTGAGGGAGAAAAGAGGGGTGTGTGGGTCCGCACTCAGGAACAGAGGCCGCATCAGGGGCGGCAGGGGTTACTGCTGGGCCGGGGTCGGCGTCTGAGGCAGGACGGGTGTGCTGGGGTCGTAAGAGGAGCGACTGTCTGCTTAGAGTAGCAGAGCTGCTCTTGGGTGTCTAACCTGCGGTGTAGAGACAGTAGCTGTAGAGCCGATGAGAGCTGCTTCTGGGTGGATAAGCCAGTCTTCCATGTTGCTTGAAGACTGGGAGCGTGATCAGTTTCTCCTCCATCCTGTGTGAGTGGTCACTCCGGGGTCACCATTTGTGGGGTATGAGATTGTTTGGTTCACACTCAGGATGGAATGGAGAAAGGAAACTCACAATGTGCTCTCTATATACATGTTGTATTGGATGTACAATGCAGCTTGGTGCTGGGAAGGCAGCATGGTTACAAGCGTGATGTAGAGAGAGCTGGTTGGTGAGGATGCTCAGAGAAGGACAGCTTGTGGGTCGCCATGCTCGCCGGCGGGAGAGAGGACCGCCAGGCAGGCGGAGGAGCGAGGACCGCCAGGCAGGAGGAGGTGTTGCTGGCTGTGGCTGAAGGTAGAGAGAGAGATCACCACGAGGTCAGGTCTTAAATAGCGGGGGTAGGCGTGGCTTAGCAGTTGACCCCCGCTCCGTGGTGTATGGCGGCGCTGGTTGACCTAGACCACGAGGCATACACTGGGGAATTGGTGGGGTCGGCTAGGCAGCGACAAACAGCGTTTGTAGGGGAGAATTCCACTACAAGCCGGTCGGACAGTTTGTTCGTCGCTAGTTTTGACCAGTATTAGTGCAGGAAGAAACTGTAGTACAGTTAACAGTACTGTACCTGGCGGAAACCTTTGATGTTTCTTGTTTCATTCGGTAGAGTCACACTGGATAACATCCTTCTCATGTGTGTCTAGTCCGAGTAGGACTCGAACCCCTAGCATAATGTTGAGAGATAAATGCATTGCCACTGAGCTACCAACACTCCAAATTCCAAATTGTTTAATGATTATAGTTACTGATTGAACACATTATTGGCTCATGTAGAAAATTAGTAAATACAATAAGGAAAAATAGCCATAATGTTCAATTTGTATGGGTCCCTTCACATGTGGGGATTGGTCTTAATGAAGCAGTAGATATAATAGCAAAAAGAGCCACGGAAAAGGCCGAGATCGACATAATATGGACTAAAACCTTGAAACAATTAAGGAGCAAATCAGGGAAAATACAATCAATAGAAGATAATTTCAAAAGGAATGAAATATACGAGAAAAGTGAAACAATGAAACATTACCATAATGTTCTCATGAACACAAAATTTACATATGGGAAAGATAGGAGTAGGTGGAAAGATTCAGTGCATATGAGGTTAAGATTAGGATATAAATATTATTGGGAACTTGGAGCTGAGAGAAGTGAACAGGATAAAGAATGTAGAGTTTGTAGAACATCCAGATCCCATACCCTGCCACATTATATACTGGAATGCCCATTACTTAATCTATATAGAAATGCTCATATAAATAATGTCCCCAAGCAAATAGAGTGGATGTTTAAAAATAGTTAAATAGATGAAATATTAAAGAAATATAGAAATTTTGCCTCTATAATATAACTATGTACTATAACTGATGAAATGAAATATTAGGGATTTATGTGAGTCTTGAGAGGGACATTCCTGGACTGGGGAGGGGATGACTAATGTCACTTCATCCCTTTGAGATGTATTAATGTTTTTGTATCTCAATAAACGTATCAATCAATTATAGTTACAGTACAGCTCATTTTACTATTATTATCAATGTTATGGCTCAATTCTCACACGTTAAAGTGAGCTTATTTAGTTTTTATCTAACTGTACAAAAACAATTAAAACAATAAAAAGGCATTAACAATAACAAGAAGCAGCCTTTGGTCTGCCTTTTGTGCACCATCATCAAAAGTTGCATACACTCCAAGGTGCAAAAAATGACGAACAAAAAAGTCACATAAAACATAACAGACAAAACAAATATGGACACTTATACAAGTCTATTAATAATTTTTGGTCCTTTATTTTCCCACTGTTAAAACGACGTAATATAAGATACTCTCAAGTATTTCCTCAAGTATGTGTAAAAGAATATTACAAGCATATCAATGGAAAGAACTTTTAACCTGTCAGTCATTTTCTAGTGTTATGATATAACTCCATTATTTGCCAACAGTTACTTGATTATAACATCTGTAACATGTTGTGAATTTGATGGTCCCAAAAGGTTAATAAAATATAAGCTTATAGCTCCGTATATTCAGTGCGGACTCCTCAACTATCTTCTCAATTACAGTATTTAGAAACATATAAGGAAAATATGTTAGTAAGAGACAGTAGCCGTGTACGTGAAACACTACATGAGGGTAATAGTATGTCGCTCGGTATATCAAGGCATGGTTCACATCCTATGCTCCAATGGGGACAAAGACCGCAGATAAAGCTACAGAAGGGGAGAGATTGAGGCCTGGAGACCTTCAGGCGCAATCATTGGGGCAGATGCCGCCGATGGCACACACGGAATTCGCCCAGTCACAGATATCGGCATTGGGGTTGAAGAGCGTACCCTCGGCACACTTCTCCTCTGTTGCCTCATATTTGTCATTTGCGTTCTGCCGAGTAAAAACAAAAAATAATATATTTACATGTACTGTATCAGCACACCAGTATTGTATTTAAAATAATGAATGAAGACTTTTGAGAAAATTATGCTCTTGGAACCAAAAAGAGGAATCTTACACTGAGCTACAAATATAATGCATCACCACATCTACCTCAGGGTAACAGATAAAAGTTGATCATAGTTTTTATCGGATTAAATGCCCAAACACTGACAAATAATATTTGTGGAAATTAAAAACAAAAAAAAGTATCTGCACACGTGATACCTTCCCTCCAGGAACCTCCTTCCTGTGAGGGGTTTGCCACATACTGTATAGTGCTTCCATTATGTGTTTAGCTATAATTCTTACAAATACTTATACAATGTATTTCTTGTGCCACTATCCACACTTCGAACATATCACGTGTTAAAGCATCTTATATCACACTAAGGATACTACGGTACACAGTCAACTGAATATCAAATTTAGATACCAATGAATGTGGATTCGCAAGTATATTTCTTAAAGTAAACATAACACTATAAAAAAATTCCTAAAGTTTTACCTGAATCCTCAGGTACTGTTACATCATTAATGCATTATTAATACTCACCAGGGAACAGAGGTAGTAGTGGTGGCAGTTGTCGGGGTCAGCGTTGATGCCAGGCTTTTGACACACACCATCAGGAGGAGGAGGAGCGGGGGAGGTGGTGGGGACGGTGGTGGGTTTGGTGGGTGCGCTCGGATCCTGTGACACAACAGTTCATTAATCAACCAATATAATATAAATAATATAAGAGATGAACTTCAAATGCGCATAATGCACGAGAATAAAATTTTATAACATCTACAGTACAGTATATGCAGCATCTTGGTACAAAAAGCAATATTACGGAAGTGGAAGGAGTCCAGGGGGGATTTATAGAAATTAAGAGTTCTAGAGCTGGCTTTCAATGGTGCTATAGGCAAACTTACGGTGGTAGTGGAGGGTGTTGTGGGTGGTGTGGGTGGTGTAGGAATGTCACCACCAGAGAAGGTTTCCCTCAGAGTCTTGATAAGGTCGAAGGGGCGGCCACATATACCATGGAAGTCGTCCGTCTCAATACTCCAGACCATCATACCGGCCAGGTTCTTGCTCTTAGCATAACTGGCCTACACAAGTAAAAATACCATCAGTACTATTGAAGGCAGTCACCTGAATCATTATTGTGTTATCTATATTTTGTGTAACGAAGAGTAATCCTTTTAAGGTTCTTGAGAGTTTAGTCACTATGAATGCTTGAGTGGTTGAGTTTTTCTTACCTTCTTGATGCAGGAGTCGTGGTCATCATAGGAGCACCAGATCCTCTCGTGCTTGTAGCTGTAGGTGTAGGGCTCGTTCATACCTGGTGCTATCTCTACCACCCAGTCACTCTCCTTCTTCTGGAACTCACAGATCTGCACCAAAGACAGGTCAGACGTTTGAGACAATTGTCAAGTTATTCTAATGTTGATAATGCTATTTTTTATTCAGGTAACAAATTAGGATTACACCCAGTTCCTATCATGCCCTCAATGCGCGCGCGCACACACACACACACACACACAGAGTTGTTCATTACCTCGTTGTAGCCTAAAAATCCTGGACTCCTGGTGTAGGGTCCTGCAGGTCCTGGCTGGCTGGCGGGGGCGTAGTAGCCGTTCTCCTCCGTGCTGTAGTCCAGCTTCCAGCAGCGACCATACAGAGGGACACCCAGTGCGATCTTGGTGCTTGGCATTCCTCCATCTATCCAGTAATTCACAGCGAAGTCCTGTACACATAACAATAACACCATTACGTGGCGAGACAGAGCCAATATATGAAAATTTTTATTATATATATATATTGTTTTATATCTTAATGTATATTGTTTGCGTGTAACACGTAGCTAGGCAATCGCTGAAGGCACTGTATATTTACACCAAAATACCGTAGATAAACATATCCTTCCTGAAGTAAGTGCCGTATATACAACAAACTATATATAGAAATAAATCCAGATTCGCATAAGATAAAGCTGTAAAATTTTCTCAAGTTACTGAACATCAGTTATATTTTGTGATCAGAGGCATAAGTGACCATATTAACTTTATTACCTAACGATTGTAAGTTATTGTGTGCATCATGGTAGATCAGAGAGGCAGGTGACTCACCTGGTTGAGGTAGACATTATCTCCCGTGTCGTCGGGGTACTGGTAGAGGCCAGACTGGTGGTGGGTGTAGGGGTCCCAGGCACCATGCAGGTCGTATGCCATCAGGTTCATAATATCAAGATTCTTAGCCATACCCGGGATGTCATAGGCTGGGTCGATGGTGAGCTTACCGGCTGACACAGCTGCCGTCAGGATCATGTTGTTAGCGTGTAGCGCCGTTGAGAGGTCTGACAGAAGGCTGATGAAGTTCACCTGTGAGAAACAACACCACACGAGTTAATGATTCTGGTTTGTCCTGAGGAACGTCATCGGTCATTGAGGCCCTGTTACATCTTAACAAATATATGAACTACTCTATTTAAGTTTTTGTGTTATTCTAAGATTTAATTTATGAAAAACTGCAGCTTCAGCAAGATGTCCATACAAATGTTAATGTTGACACAACAGTCAGTGACTCACCTTGTCCTCTGGCTTCCCTCCACGCTGTGTCGGATACTCCCAGTCCATGTCCAGACCATCGAATTTGTGGGCCTTCAACATCTCTATAGAGGAGTCGACGAAGGTCTTCCTCGTGGAAGAACTGCTAGACATCTGAGACCAGAGAAAACATTATTATGCACAATAAACAGAATCTGCTTCACAAATAAAAACATATCCAGATTTGAGCTGCATCTGTATATTCCTTTCAGCTGAATTGTTCATTATCACAGGACTAACACTCAAAGTGAGTTGGTTAGCCCTTCACTTTTGATATTTTACTTGTCTAACACCAGACGATTTTATTCAACTCAGATGGGACCCCATACACAAGGAGTTAAATTTGTTCAGGAACAGAGGACAATGAGAGGTACTAACAGCAGAGTACTTGGGGGATCCCTCGTTCCAGCCACCAACGGCTAAGATGGTGACCAAGTCGGCATTCTGTTCCTTGAGGGCGTTGAACCTGTTGTAGGCGCACTTACCCCAGTTCTCACACAGCTCGTTGTATGGGTCAAGCACCTGTACACCAGAATGAATTAATACAGAAATTGAAAATAACATTTACAATTGTCTAAAAATAATACATATGAGATTTAATGGTTGTAAGCTTTCAATTACATATAGGTGCAGGTAACAACTATATAATACGAAAGTGTATAGCTATATAACGTGTAATGTATTATAGAACATGTTATTTCATTATTTGCAATGTACCTTGTATTGCAATTTAAGAAAAATATGACTATCACATGTAGGTGGGCTCCTTGTTTAGTCTCTCTGGGTGTTGTGTTTAACCGCACTTCACCTACCAGTGTGCAGCCAGCAAGCTCCACCTACATGTTGGCTGTTAATTACAAATTATGTATGACTCAAATGGATTTCTTAAGTGACTGCATATTCCATATAATATGAAATACTACTTATAAGATGGTGAGCCGAGAAATATTCAGAAACTTTATACAATGTTTCTTGTAATGGTTTTGTGAACAAAGGGTTTAACTCAATATATCTCACATTACAGAGTTGATGGAGGAAATAGGAAATTATAGAAATTTCTGACTATGGAGAAAGAAGAACAGGATGATAGAATGATGATGAAAGGAAAACTATAGAAGACAAGAATATTTGAGAAGCAAAGTTGCATCTTTCTTTGAAAAATGGAAATCAGAATAATACACACAAGGCATTCAATTAAAGTTCAAAGTCGTGTGATAATAGCCCCCAAAAAGCTGCAAGAACATAGGTTTAGTGCTCCTGTAAATGTATTCAGTGCCTCTGCAGTTGACGAAGCTAATGTGTATGGGAAAGTGTTGATAAAAGGATTATTAAGGTTAACTTGCCTTGATTTTATTGTCAGAGCCAAGTCCAGCGAAGCCAAAGACGAGGTGAGTACAGATGGCAGGATCGATGGCCTCAACGTCAAACTTGCCATTTCCTTGCCTGTACACGGCCCAAGAGCCATAGTAACACACCATCAAGCCATTGTCGGCAGCTGCCTCACGAAACAGGAGTGTTGTGTTAGTTATTTACTTGTGTGCGAACAAAAGTCATGAAATGAATGAGTGAAAACACAGTTATGAATCATTAGCCGAGTTAGTCAGTAACTGAACCATAACTGTGATGGAGCCCAAACATTGTTCTGGTCACTTGGCTTTATAACCAACATGGTCAATTAGTCTTATAATACACAACATATAATGTCTACAGAGACACAGAAACAATAGAGCTGAGTCAATAGACTAAGATAATGGTAAGAGTGTCACCTGTGACGGCGAGGGCGAGGGCCAACAGTGAGAGAGGCACCAACAACTTCATGACGTCTGTTGTTCGTCAAGGAGTCAACTGTGGATGTTGACGACCACTGGTGCTCCTGAAGGTCTGCTCCAACATTTATACCCGAGGTGTTGATCCACATGCACACGACACCCAGCTGTATCTCCTGCACATGACAGCTGATATCTCTCATCTCCAGGCTGTGTGAGAGAGTTGTCAAAAAAGAAGAGATTAACAGATCCAACAGTACAGTACCTTGCCCTATAAACAGAATGAAAATATTAAAAGTGAATAAAAAAAAGGTAATCACACAAATTGATTTAAACAAATTTGTGCACACAAAAGAAGTATCTGCCCACCAAAGTCCGATGTTTTGAAATGAATACAATATACTGTACAGTAGTTTTGGTTCGGTTGGTGTTTCTGATAGCGAGTTGCACCTGCAGTTATCATAGTTATTATCTGGTGCAACTCACACTCAGAAATACCAACCGATCCGAAACTGCTGTACAGTGTGTTCATTTCCAAACACTGGACCCAGGTGAGCAGATTTTTTGTTGTTGTGTGTACCTCTAACTTATTTAATTGAGATAAATCTACAATGATTCAGACTTTCTACTTACAGAACAATTAAAATTTCCGATCATACGGAAAAATCTCTGAAGATGGAATCAGTTATTTCTTTACAAACTGGTGCAAAAAGAAGAACAAGGACACCAATGAATATGTCAGTTGATAGAAAAATTGTTGCCAGATGAAAATTGGAGTACAATCAGAACTGATATCGTGTGGGATGTAAGCAAGATCAGCTTGGGTCGTTGGCAACACTCACACCTGTCACCTTCCCAACTGTTGTCATCGATGACTTGTGGCTTATATGAAATCTTCAGCACTGCTTCCTTATGGTACGAGAGGACACTTGAAACTACTGTTACTTTATGGTGCCTGTGGGCTGGAACATTAGTACTAGCAGCGGAACACGGCGATGCTGAGTTTGTCTTTTTGACGGGCAACTCATGGTCTATGTCCATGACTACTATCATCTACCTAACTCAACTATACTGTCATCTACAATATATCAACTACATTATCATCTTAACAGCGTTTCTCAAACTGGGGGCAAGATTTTAGGGGGGCCATGGCTGGCTAGTGTAAGTAGTAAATGTTTGGAGAAAATGTTTTAACTCTGATTCAACTGTTTTTTGCTACTTTGCCTTGTTAGGGGAGAAATCTTTTTCTTTTCTTCTTTTTTTGTCATTGTGTGTAATCATAATACCCATACGGTACAGTTTTGATGTTTACATAGTATGGTGCAGCAGCTAGTTTTACATTTCCAACGGATTCGCTCAGATTGCACGATTCTAGTTCCTGTTCAGACGAATTCCTTGATCTCAGAACGATTCTGCTGCCGGAGACCTCTATGAAGAAAAATCTTTGACTGTATTTTGGTGCTCAATGTATCAGTCATATCCAAAAGTTAGTGAGATCGCACTTCGAGTCCTCTTGCCATTTTCTAATTCTTATTTAAATATGGTTTCTCCACCTTCTTCAAATAGAGAATAAATGCCGAAACTGGTTACTTGTGGACCCAGACATGAGATGTGCTTTATCAGTGACTTAACCTAAAATCAGTCGACTGACTGAAAGGAAACAATGTCATCCATCCCTTTGAACTGTCACAATATATGCATTCTGTTTGATGATTGAAAACATTAAAATAAAGGAAGAGAACCAGAACAGTTTATTTTCATCATTATTTGTGAGGGGCTTGGGAGAGAACTGAAGGGGGGGCCATGTTGAGAGTTCCTCATGGGGGGATGAAGTGAACAAGTTTGAGAAACACTGATCTACACCAACTCAACTACACTATTATATATACTACATTAACTACACTACCATCTACATTACAGAGCATTCAGAGCGCAAGCCCTCAACTTGGGAGATTTTAATTGAGTCATTACACTGACTAGGTGAATCTTATCACACAAGCCGAGGGAAAAGAATTCCTTGATCTCATTCAAGAGCCATTCCTTATACTAGATGTGTTGGAACCCCCGAGGAGAGACAACATTCTAAATTTAGTCTTGGCGACTAAGCAGGCTATGGTGGACGAGGTCTACGTCGGGGAGAAACTAACTCCGGCCAGCGACCACTGCATACAAAAAGATGGAATATAATCTTTGATAGTCGAGAGAAAGTAGTTGAGGAGGAATACTATGACTTCATCCATGGAGATTACCAGCTCATGGGAGACAAAATAAAGAGAATTAATTGGGAAGAAATCGTTAGAGAGGAGTCAGAGAGAAGGATCAATGCAAAACTTCATGGAAATCCTTAAGTTACAGTAGAGGTATTGTATACCCCGGAAAACAGAGAGAAGGGGGAATAGGACCAGGTGGGTGATTCACAGATTTATAAGGAATCCTGCAAGAAAAAATTCAAGATGTGGAAGAAATACCAGAGCACAGGGCATCTTAGGCCCGAAAGCAGAACGGTGGTCAGGGGCGGATCCAGGAATATATAAATGGGGAGCAAAACGTTGTGGGTGGGGGGGGAACATGGCGAGCTCAGTAAGCCTACCCAGCTGGGGGGTTTTGGGGAGGGTGCTGTAAGCCCCCCAAGATTTTTTTTTAAATCTGACCAATATTATGGGCATTTTGAAACCATTTTAAAGCCACGAGCACTTGATATTAGGGGATATTCTGAAGTCAATAGTAAATACTTTCTACCATACAAAAATGCCTGAGTACAATACTGTATTAAAGAAAAAGTACTGGAATTTTCTGGTGAAAAGGGGGTCTGGACACCCAGGACCCCCCCATGATCTGCCCTTGGTGGCTTGAGCCTGGGATTTGAGCTTGGCTCAGGCGTGCGAATCGAGATTCCTCGATCCGAGATTTCCTGCAGTGGATTGCCCATATTCAGAACATCAGGTTGAATCCCGGATCAGGTAATCTGTTGAATTTTCTTCAGTTATATTCCAGCCAATCACGTTTTATTTACACCGTTACGACAGCCAATCACCATTGAGAGTAATGTTTACAAGATTAAGGCGACAAGAATGACTCGATGAGTTTTTATGGAGAAGAAATCTCTCCTTGCACATAAGTTACTTTTGTTACTATAATTTCAATCAAATTATAATGATTTATGGTACTGTGTTACAACGTGGCTGTGTTGTTATATGATAAAGAAATTCATAGAGAAAGAATTAAGTACATACAAATTGTCGATATAATCCGGGACAAGTGTCAGTATTCATAACCAAGGCAAGATGAATCAATGCAGGGCGTCGTAACCTGGCTAGGTTTGGTTAGGTTAGGTTTCCTTCTGTTCTTTTAACCTCACATTTCCCCTGATTTGTAATGTTAAGAAAAGACTTTCCTTTATTAATACATTAAAATAAAAATGCATTCAGCATTTGTTCAATTATTTTGAAAATACTGTACATCAAAATAGTTTTCCTAAAGAAAAACACTCAAAATAAAGAAGCGTTAGCGTTCTTTACATTTACACACTTGATCTTCATGGACCCTAAACACGAAAGTGTTGTAACACATTACCATAACTCATTCAGTAACCAGAATCTTTCTTACCCAGAAACTATTCGTTGTGAAGACTCTCAAAGCAATCATCAGCTGATGAATGAGAGGTAGAGGTGAACCAAAGCCAACAGGTTTGTCAAGCAAGTCTCCCTTGCTGAACCATCTTATCGTTGTCTAAATTGCATGTCATCATAAAAATTTATAGGATTCTGCCTATCTACCATCAGTCTTCTCTATATAAAAATTTCAATTTGACAATATCGCCGAAAGCGAGCTCTGCCAAAATTCATGTTGACTAGCTATCTTGAACGACGGATGACCACTAAACCAGCTTCCAAGCTGGATTAACGCGAGGATAGACAAATCCGATCTCAAACCCGGTTTGAATCTTTGTGTTGGCTCAAGCCAGGGTTCTGAATAGAGGGATCCTACACAGACCACTGGCTCCCTTCCCTTGGCATGGCCACCTCATTCTTCCTCACACTATGCTGCAGGGTGGCAGGAACACTCATTCTCTTCCCACTATGCTGCAAGGTGACAGGAATGTTCACTCTCCCTTTATTAACTTTATCATGTCACATCCAGTAAACTTCTCGATGCCATCAAGCTTTTTTATCGTCTTGTTCTCTGGATGACGATCCTCCTTACTTCCAGTGTATCCTTCATCCCGCCCTTTCCTCTCTTGTTATCATCGTCTGAATTATACACTTGTTTTATCCATCTTTCATTTCTCTTCTCTTACTGTCCTTGCCACCTCAACTTTCACATTTCCATTAACTGTCTATAAATTATTGTTTTATACATCCTATTAACTCAACATTATGTCCTCAAGCGTGTTGTTTCTCTTCCTCTTGCACCCAGAGGCCATGTTTCGCACCCATACAGTATAGTAATGGCAGCTCAATATATTTTTTGTACACATCTCCAACTTTGCTCTCTTTAAATAGTTCTTTCTCTCCATTTAATTTTTAATGCAAATATTTCTTTCTTTACCTCGACTATTCTCTAGTTCAGTTTGTTATCCTTTGTTCCATTAGGTGACATTTTCACTCCCACGTCTCAATGTATTTTGTATCTACTTGTAGAAGTGTTGAAAATATTCACTTATACAAGTCTTTTATGGGAATTAGCGTTCATGTGCTCCTCTGAGTTACTCTGTAGGGTACATGCGGGAGAAGGGTTTCTGAGGTAAGACCAATGTGTTTCACCGTGTTATAATTACATAACGGGTTAGAAAAAAATTGCCTTAAAAACCGCCATTTATTCATCAGTTCCTCCAAATACTTTATTTCTTAAAGTAATAAGACGTCATGGAAGAAACCAGGAGCATCAACCTTGTGCGAGGCTAAGTCGATGTAGCTTGATAAACCTAGAACCAGTTCAGACCTTTTGTTCAGGGATGAGGAAAAGGTTCAGGGTGTTATGACCCCTATGAAGGTCAGGGGCGGGGAAAGATTAGGTCATGGTGTCTAACATGGGACAAGCTAGGGAAGGGGAAAGAGGTTGTGGGAGGTGTCACTATGATAGATAAAGTGAGGGCAGGAGGAGGGAAGACGTTTAAGGACAATCATTGGGGCAGATGTTGTCGATGGCACACACGGAAGACGCCCAGTCACAGAATTTGGCCTGAGGGTTGTAGAGTGTACCTGCAGCACATATTTCCTCTGTAGCGTCGTAACCGTTGTCAACATTCTACCGATAAAATAATTTTATCGTTACATTGAGTATCGTAAAGATTTATTCCTATTTTTCCAAGACTCAAATGTGTTGTGATCAGTGACATTCATGTATATGATCAGCACAAAGCCAGAGATCATTATAGTCAAAGATAATCTGTAGTAGAAGAAATGATTCTGCATGAAATGAAAGATTTGATTCATTACAAAATGTAATGAAGTAGATGGCAGATATCTGGTTAACGGATAGCACTGCACCACACTGTTTAGTTATGTGCCTAACAGTAAACTCTTAGTTAAGAAGAGCTGATCTTACACAATATGACATGTGTTAGTTTATCCTCGAAACTCTGTCCTTGGGAGCCAGCAACATAACATTGAAAGGATTATAACTTCTGTACAAAAACTTGAAACATTTTCCCAAAATTCCAAATGTTGAGTTGCTGGAGATTAAACTTGTTAAGCTAAAAATATTGCAAAGGGAATTTCCATTAACTCTTTATATAGTTTACTAATTCTTATGCTGTACTACATACACAGTACAGTACTGTAAATTATAACTTGCACAATTTAATCATGTGTATGACAACATAAAACTACATGTACTTCCAATTTCAAATTATCTCCACAAATAATAGTAAAATTATTACAAAAACAATGAAGATCTAATACAACTACTGTTTTACAATAATAACACCTAATAATACTGTTACTCCTAATGTAACAACTATGTTGCCAACTACACCAGAGTCATCAATTGTACATTACAGACACTCACCGGGGAGCAGAGGTAGTAGTGGTGGCAGTTATCAGGGTCAGCATTGGGGCCAGGCTCTGAACACACACTATCAGGACGAGGAGTAGCGCGGGTGGTGGTGGGGGTGGTGGTAGGTGCACTCGGGTCCTGGTGATACAATGTCATATGTTTTAAAAAAGGGATAAAGCAATATGATCAATGGTTAACCACCAAACTTGGTATTTTGGTGCAGTGGCCAAGTGGTTATATAGCACTCACCTCCTGTTCCAAACATTGCTAGTTTGATCACGGGGCACTCCCAGTCTACCCAGCTATAAATGGTTACTTAACTTTCTAACGTTGGCAAAATGTGTATTGAAGGCTTAGTATGGTATACAGTTTACCGTATCCACACTGACCCTAACGAGCAGTTATGTCTATAGAATGATCCACTATCACTTTTCAATTTGGTATTATTGTATAAATGGGATTTAAGCACCAAGTTATGACACATAAAGAGGTGGTAGTGGTAGCAAAAGTGACACTTACACGAGTGGTGGTTGGCGGTGTTGGCGGTGTTGGAATTATTTCACCACTGAAGGTCTCCCTCAAGGTCTTGATGAGGTCGAATTTGCGGTCATGACACTCACCCAAGAAGTCGTCAGTCTCAATACTCCAGATCATCATACCGGCCAAGTTCTTGCCCTTGGCATAGTTGGCCTGCACAGGTAACACTCACTATAAGTACTTGAGAAGATTATCACTAATCACATCCATATTATTTCCTTTTGTTTGAAAAACAGAAGTCTTGTCTGGCATACTGAAAAATTAGGTAAGCTTAGTTGAGAAAAACAGAAGTGGTTACTATGGAAGCGAGTGTCAAACCACGTATTACCTTCACCACGCAGGAGTCGTGGTCATCATAGGAGCACCAGATCCTCTCATGGCTGTAGCTGTAGGTGTAGGGCTCGTTCATACCTGGTGCTATCTCTACCACCCAGTCACTCTCTGTCTTCTGGAACTCACAGATCTGCGCCAAAGAGAAGTCAAAGGGTTAAGAGGATGATCAATTTGTCCAGGTAATTCTCCAACATCATTATTTATAAGGAGTTAAATGCGTATACAAGTACAGTCGTTTTCCTCCTCTGACACATACATTATGTTAGGGACATCCTTTCATTACCTCATTGTAGCCTAAAAATCCTGGACTCCTGGTGTAGGGTCCTGCAGGTCCTGGCTGGCTGGCGGGGGCGTAGTAGCCATGCTCATCTGTGTTAGAGTTCAGCTTCCAGCAGCGACCATACAGAGGTACACCCAAGGCGATCTTGGTGCTTGGCATTCCTCCATCAATCCAGTAATTCACAGCAAAGTCCTGTATACAAAGAACCATCATGTGTCTGACACAGTCCATGTACGATACATAAACTGAGTGTAACAGAAATATGTTTTTGAAGTCTATCTAAATTAAGACTCCATGCATAATATATATTGTCTAATTGTCGCGAGGGGAATTTTATTATAAAACAAATATGTTATCATGTGCATCAAGGTATATCAGAGAGGCAGGTGACTCACCTGGTTGAGGTAGACATTATCTCCCGTGTCGTCGGGGTACTGGTAGAGGCCAGACTGGTGGTGGGTGTAGGGGTCCCAGGCACCATGCAGGTCGTATGCCATCAGGTTGATCCAGTCTACCTGCTGCGCCACACCTGGGATGTCAAAGGCTGGGTCGATGGTGAGCTTACCGGCGGACACAGCGGCCGTCAATAACATGTTGTTAGCATGCAGCGCCTTATTGAGGTCTGACAGAAGGGTGACGTAATTCACCTGTAAACAACACCACATACATCAAGATCACTTGCTTCTCATAAGTGAACTGCTCTGATAAATGTCTGTTGTCTCTCCCTAACTCAAAGTGTTTGTCATGAAAGTACTTCTGTTGACTCAAGAGCGTGTGGCGTACCCTGTCCTCAGGCTTCCCCCCACGCTGGGTCGGGTACTCCCAGTCCAAGTCCAGACCATCAAAGTTGTGGGCCTTCAACAGCTCTATAGAGGAATCAACAAAACTCTTCCTTAACGAAGGACTTGCAGCCATCTGGAAACAGGAAAATACATCATACAACCTTTTTGCTGAAAAGGAGAAGTACAATATTACCAGATTTACTCACCGCCTAACCATAAAACATCAAGTTATGCACTGAACACCTTGGTCTTCACTGACTGTCAAATATAAGACAAATCAACTAATGTAATCAGATGTGTAAAGTAAAAGTTGTCTCACATTAGAGTATTTGGGGGAGCCCTCATTCCATCCTCCTACAGCCAGAAGGGTTTTGAGTTCAGTGTTTTGCTCCTTGAGGGCGGTGAACCTGTTGTAGGCGCACTTGCCGTAGTTCTCACACAACTCGTTGAAGGGATCCAACACCTGTAAACCAAAATCTCTTTAACATGATGCTATGGAGTGAAAAGTTACAGCAGATGTTCCCAAGAAATCGGCTGGGAACTCGTTAGACATCAGTATTCAGCAAAATTCTTATCTCCATGCAGGTGAATTCATAGACATCTGGCTATCGCTGGATACATTCTTCAAGATGGTCTAATTATTTCATGAGACAAAAACCGAGATATAAGAGTTGAGTTGAATGTAGAACATTTCCAGCTGCTCGCGCCAGTAGATCACTTATAGTGTATTTTAGAAGGAAAAAAAATCACCATGATAAAATGCTACTTACATTTTATTAAGTAGTTTGATCACTTAAAATTCCACCAGTTTATCTATCTTTCTAATATTTCTTAAAATTTCCTCAACACTTACAATATATTGCTCAACACCTTCAACATATGAACAAAATATATTGAAAGGTTAAATAACTCACCAGTAATTAAAGGTATTGTAAAGACAAAAAAATCCATACGAGAAGCCTGGAAAAGGGATCTGTGTTACAGTGAATGTGAAGAAGAACAAAAACACGGGAGCAGAACTGAAGGAGAAGGCCAAACAGGGTTATTTAGTATTTATACAGAAGATACCTCACAGTTTACGAGTGATCAATTAAGTTTGAGGACTTGGTTTATACAGGAGCTAGGCTTAGTAAGGCTGGAATGGAATGATGGTAATTGTATATCGCATCTGAAGGTCTGTGATGGTACAAAAAGCTCATATAAAAGTTCGCTTCATCCAAGATTGTCACAACTATGAAAGCCTAATTCTATCTGACCAGACAGTTGAAAAATAAAATATGTACAACAAATAAGATGAGAAAAATCTGAAGATGTAGGAGAAACGCAAGTAGTGTTATATGACTCATGGATGGAAACCTGCTCGTGGTATATCTGTGAGAACCTGAGGGAAGACAGTGAGGCTGGTGAAGACACATAACACTGAGGTACGTACACAAAGAGGGCAGCAAGACACCTCATGGCCTAATAACTGTCAGTGAATGTAGCTTACATGTACAGTAGTTTATGGGGATGCAGCAGTGAGCTTTAAATATATATAATGGCTTAGGTCTGTGGAAACATTAGTTTATGAACAAGAAGAAAACGAGGTTCAGGTCACACCTTGGCGATTCCACCTAGAAAGGTTGCAGGTAAGGTGGTACTCTTCAATATTTACTGAACTACACAGAGAATGATCTTATTCCTTAGGTAAAACGTTTCTGGGGCGTTTAAAAAAAGTACAATAAAGAGCATCTCACCCTGATCTTGTTGTCATAAGAAAGTCCAGCGAAACCAAAGATGAGATGAGTACAGATGGCTGGGTCGATGGCCTCTACGTCGAACTTGCCCTTGTCTGGCCTGTACACGGCCCAAGAGCCGTAGTAGCACACCATCACGCCATCATTGGCAGCTGCAGCAATAAAAATAAACATTATGTATATTATTTAATTACGTGTGAACGACGTCACAGATTAAGTTAGAAAAGCTTTATTGTGACTTGTGTTTCAGAACTGCCCTACATCTTAACAACACTGACAAGTGGATCTCACACTAGTCACACAACCCCACTTTATCCTCTTGGAAGACTACTGGTCATGTTTCAAAATGCAGAAGATCTCAACCTATTTCTACAGTGACATAAAAACTATTTTTCAGTATAGTGGACAGTGATGGATGTCACCTGTGACGGCGAGGGCGAGGGCCAACAGTGAGAGAGGCACCAACAACTTCATGACGTCTGTTGTTCGTCAAGGAGTCAACTGTGGATGTTGACGACCACTGGTGCTCCTGAAGGTCTGCTCCAACATTTATACCCGAGGTGTTGATCCACATGCACACGACACCCAGCTGTATCTCCTGCACATGACAGCTGATATCTCTCATCTCCAGGCTGTGAGAATGACAGATGTCACTGAAGTGTTCATCATATCTAACAACTCCAACATAGAATCAAAACAAAAATATTTTATACACATTGAAAAAATACCGAAGTAAATATAAGAAACAAATAAAAAAGTCTTATCATTTGTGAACATAATGGTGTGAGTTACCGTAATTTCTCAAATAGTTCTCATTAAAAGAACAACAAAGGCGCATCAAAACTCATGTCAGGTGACTTAGTTGCTTAAGTCTTATAGTTCACTGAGAAATGATGCAATTGGCTAAGGTAAATCTGGCTAATATGGGTTGTTGGTAACACCATCACCTGCAACTTTCCCCAATATGTCTTGATGAAAAAATACTGTTGCCACTTTAAAATGTTTTAATTTGGCGGCGGCGACTTTGGCTTTCTTTAGTCTTTCCTTCACGTGGGACATGATGCCCGTCCGACAGATGGCGAGACCGAGCAAGCTGCCTTGTTTAGAGTACCCAATCTCTTCGTCGTCGATCATCACTGGGCCCGGCTTGAATTTGGCTATGGGTATGACCTCGAATTACATTTTGTTTGTTTTTATCTTCTATTTCTTTTCATACCTCGAGATATCCTCTATTGCCCGAACAGTGAGTCACACCATCCTTGTCGTGGATCTTCCTGGGCAGGTGACGATCTGTGGCACATCATCGGCATACATGACGTACTCATTGCTGACGATTGGGGGTGACAGGTCAGCTGAGTAGAGCGTGTAAAGGGTTGGTGAGAGACAAGAGCCCCGAGGCACACCGCTCGAGAGTGCGAATTCTTCCCCACAATGTTCTTGCATCTTGATTTTGGCTGTGCGGTCCGTAATGAAGTTGTACAACAGGTGCGTCAGGTTTTCGGGTAGCCCAGTTGTATGATCTTATACTGTAGCGCCGTGTGCCAAACCTAGTCAAACGCATTGCTGACGTCCCTCAGCACTACGTTGCACTGCAGGCGGCCAGTTATGGCATTGGCGATCTGCTCGTAGACCTCTATGGTGGTGGATGTGCCTCGTTACTGGCGGAAGCCGAACTGGCAGGGATGCACGTCCTCGTCCTTCAGATATATCCGCAAATGCTTGTTTACCATTGGGGGGGGGGGGATTTTGGTTGGTACCTCCAGTAGCGACATTGGTCGAAAGTTTTCGACTTTGTTTGGAGGCTTCACTGCGTTTGGTATGAGGCGGATAACGGCTATTTTGAACATCTTAGGGAAGTATCCAGAGGCGAGGCAGGTATTGCATATATGAGCAAGCCTTACCATTATGTTGTCGGGAAGTTAATATACCTTTGTCCAGGTGACTTGTTTTAAAAACCCTTTGATGATGAATAACACATCTGCAGGAACTAAGCGCTCCGTTAAGTAGCTGTTGTCCGCCAGTCTAGTGAAGTCAGTCCGTGCGAGCGGCTGGAGCAGGTGCGGATGGTCCTGCAACTGACCTAAAATGTTCTCCTCAAACTCTCTGTCGAAGTCCACTAATGATAAAGATCTTTCGCAAATGTTACCGATGTAATTGTTCTTGGTTTTCCTCCTCGAATATTTTATCGTTTTGATCGAGTAGGTACGAGACTGTATTAAAGAGGGGGAACCAATCAGTCGCTTGATCCCCTTCCAGAAGGAGGCAGAGTTGCGGTAGTTGTTGGCTGCCTCCCACATCAAGGCAGCCCACTTTTGTTCATGTAGACATTTACTCTCGTGCTGGATGTCCGTCTGTAGCTCTCGGAACCGGTTTCTCAGCTCTTGCGTTCACCCGAAGATACTGGCTAGCTGTCTCACATGATCATACTGGACACTGAGCTGCCTCAGCTGATGACTAGTGTGAGGATGGGGAATGGTCCTGTGGGTGGTGGTCGGGATGTTGTTGTCCATTTTCATCTTCACATGAGTGTACCACTGCTCGACCGCGTCGTCGATGTCATTGGGGCTGGTCTCCTCCAGGTTTCCTCCCTTGCTTGAGACTGAGAGACTCCATGAAGGAGTTCCAGTCTGTCCGTTTGAGGCTTGACTTGATTTTGGTGAGGATCATAATGGGATTGGATGAAAGCATCACAACGACTGGCAGGTGGTTGCTGGTATCGATGGGTCCGGCGGTAATGTGCCTGTTCAGGATGGCCTCATTGCTAGAGATGATTATGTTGGGTGTTGCGGCACTGGCACATTTTCCCCCTGCTGATGTTGTCAAACAGCGCCACACCGACGTTGTTCTCATTACTATGTCCGCGTATGGCATGGCGTGCATTTAAGTCTCCTATGATGAATGTTGGTTATATGTGGTTGAGGTCTCCACCTGCACTCCTAGAACTGAATCTTCGAAGTCAAACAACGCTCTGTGACTCAGCCGTGACCTGATGGCCACAGCGACACTGACGTTCAGCTCACCCGTCATGTTCCTCTGGTATACTGTACAGTATAGTAAAAAATTTTCACTTGTCTTTCGTCCTTTATGCTGGTACTGTTTAACAGAATAATGTCTGGGTCGAATTGATAGTATAAGTTAGACAGTTCGTTGCTCTATTTAAGGACCAGTGTAAGACATATGTTGGACAATTTTCATCCTGCTAATGACTGCCATTTCGAAATCTTTAGCTTGGGGCATCGCTTGAAGTGTTTGTCAGCTAATGATGGGGCCTCAAACTTCCCATCACCCATGTACAGGAAGATGTTCAGGTCCTGGGCCTGCATGTCGAAGTCATCTACTGACGCTGCAGCTTGTGTTCTAATGCACTTATATGTAAGAACACTTAAGTGAGGTGTTCACTGGGTAACAAATGATAATAGTCTGATCTCTCTCCTGTCTCCATATCAAGAGAGATATGAGGAGCAGGCCAGGTCTGTTATGATTTGGTTGACCTCGTCTGCCCTCTAGAGTGTGGGAAAGGAAACACGTCAGATGTACAGCTGTGCTAACATGAGCTGACCTCGCCCAGACTTCGCTCACTCCCCGAAGGAAATACAACTTCAGCCATGTATAATGTCAACAGCTGAGGCACAGGTGAATAACTTGGTGAATAATCTGGTATTATACATTTGGGTGAATATTTATATAATGCAAATGGTGCCGTTACACCACCTTTATCCTGGACACTGCTTGGCTCGGTTACATTTTGTCAACTGTGGGGCTCTGGTGAGACAGGCTGGTCGTTACCCCTCAGCACCAGCCATCTCAAATTTCCCGTCTTAGTTGGCTGCTCTTCTTTCCCTCTCTTGGAATTTTGTGGGCACTTAGTCTTGAAGTGTCCATTTTCTCCACATGTCCAACATCCTCTCTTCTCCATGTTCTTCTCTGTATTGCCCTTCTCTAGCTCTCGTTTCCACTTGTAACATTCCTCCTGTTTGTGCCCAATCTTCTCACAATACCAGCAAGTTCCTTTAAATCTCTCTGCTTCTTGTACCCCTTCGTGCTTTGAAACCAGAGTTAGACTCCGCCCTGAAACTTGGTAAACTTGACCTCACATAAGATTTAAACTCCAGGGCTCTCGCCAAAGCTTCCTGTAGAGTTACAGGTTGGGATTACTTCACCTGAATCTTGAGCTACGTGCTGTCCAATGCGTCCACAGACTGGTTCCTCAACAACACGGCAAACAGATCAGGTGATGCTCTAGGGTACGCCCTATGAGCCATACTTTCCAGGTCTTGAACAAGCTGTTGCAGTGTTTCACCTCCATTATAGGCACGAGTGCAGAATATGGCCCTGTAAACCTCATTTTGGTGCTTGGTTCCACATCTTCGTTCCAGTACCTCTACCAGTGACATGTAACTGCTTCGCTCTGCTCCTGTCAACTGGCTGAGAATCTTCATAGCCGTGCCCTTGAAACTCATGGCTAATTGTACTGCACAGTGCACACTGCTTCTCGTCCCACCCGTTTCGTTTAGCTAGTAATTCAAACTGTGCTTGGTATGCTTTCTATGAAAGCTTGCCATCGAATTCCTGTGGTTTCTTCTTCACTGGCTCTCTTGGATAGTTCGCCACTTCACTTGACGTAGGTCTGGGTCTGACTCAGGTGCACACTTCCCTTTCCCACACGCTGTTGGTCACGTCTCTTAAGTACTCCACAGGAAAGTTAGTCCTCAGTTTTCTGGACTTGTGACTTCTTTAACCTAGGGGCTGTGACCCCTTGTAGGGCGAGCGTCCGCCAGCTCTAGGTATGGACACTTGACCGAGTAGTACCCTTTAAAATGTTTATACACCTCAATAATAGGTCACCCCTTGCCCGTCTGTAGTATAAGCTAGGCAGTTGCAGGCGTTCTAATCTTTCTGGATATTTTCAATCAACTGACAGTCCCAAGCATATCTCGGGGACCAGACGGGGTGACTACTCCAGGCAAAGAAGCACCTCACTCTTGAAGACCGTTACGAGGGACGGACCCGTCTAGATATCTGAACGACTTTCTTGTACGACCTACTAGTTTAGTTGCGTGATTCACTGTCTTCTCACAATGGCCCGAGAACTTCAGTTCATTGTCAACATACACACCCAGGTTCTTTTCACATTCGGTCTCTATTAATGCAGTTTCTTCGTCCCGTTGGGACATACGATACGCTTACTTACCGTTGGTACGACTCGAGTACATCCTCCTACACTTCGTAACATGGAATCTTTGCAGCCATTTTTTCGACCATTCTTGAAGCTCACAGAGCTCTTTCTGCAGCTCTTCACAGTCTGTTTGGTTCTGTCTTCATAACTCATATATCATTGCACATATATGAGATCCGACAAAAAAAAATAACGAGACTGACCCGGTAACTCGGGAACCAAGAATGGGAGGGGAGGGACAAACAGACGGTTATCGAACATGTTCTAACCTGTCACAGTGTGACAAGGCTCAACTCGATCGCTTCACTCAGTAGAAGTGAACGCGAGTTGAAGTATACTGTTTTTACGCTCGGTCGGTAAATGTCGGACTGCAAAACTGAGCAACGAGTTAACATCAAGTT